AGCTATAGGAACGCGATTAATTGAAGTATTTTTAGAAAATTGTGCCAAAAGCAAAGGGTAAACTCGCAAAGGGACTGATCTCATAAGTCATTGCCCATGAGACCGCACCATCACCGCTGCACTTTATGGCTTCACAACTCTACCCAGAGAGTCGGTTAGCAGCCACACATCTCATCTTACATGGCACCGGCGACCTTGAGGGCGTTTGGTTTCGGTCAAAAAATGTTCGGGTCAAGCACCTATTATTTTATTTGCTGATTTGATGACAAAGTAAATATGAAATATACATAGTACTTATAAGAAACGAAACTGGTCAGTTATTTTAGAATTCCGTGAGCCTGAATCGCCCTCCCCCTTAAACCTTCCCTTGATCCTTTTTGCGATATTTTATAATGATTTATAAAGCTAGAAGAAATTCTCTGGCGCAGTTGGTTCCTCTTGAGACCCTTGTTAACCAACATAATCATGCAGTCAATTACCTGTTAGGACTGCTTTCGATAAATTGGGTTCTAACCTACCCATCACAGTCAACTCACACCTCCATTCTCCTCAGTAATGACAGCACATTGTCGGCGTCTTTGAACTGCGTCGGGAGTAATTCTGATCGCCTATTCACCCTGAGAAACCAATGTTCACACCACATGAATACGTTGCGCTATCATATTCTGGGAAACTACGATCCACCTCGGGTCTTGAGTTTAATTGAGATTCTCTGCACCATGTGGAGCACACCGCCAGACAGGAAAGCAAAATTATGCTTGATTTATTCAGAATTTTTCTAGATCCCAAATTCATCAGTAAGCCTTTTAAAGCACAAAAATATAACATTTTCAAACAATGATATAACTACTGATAGATCACTGGTTACTGGTGAAACAGACAGCAAAAACCAACCCAGGGTCACATACATACCCTCCCCTTCAAAAAGCCAGAAAGTGTCGGGTGCAGACCATACACCACAAGTGACGACGGCCTCCAGAAAATGCAAATGTTTTTTGCCAATGAAATGATTAACCTGTTACAGTTGTATTCGATCAGTTGACAGTAATTACAACTATCATTTACTAAAAATCAGCTATCACTATGAACCACTACTAACCAGATTTACTTGGAGGCCGTCGTCACTTGTGGTGTATGGTCTGCACCGCACAATTTCTGGCTTTTTGAAGGGGAGGGTATGTACACCGTCGATTCGTATGGGCTTTCATTTGTTCTGACCGATCAGTTAAGTTCAATTTGATCTGTACTTATGCATAGATGGTTCGTGTGCGGAAGTGGTGCAGTGGCATTTGGCACACGCTATACTACGCGTGCGCGGTCCGGGGATCGAATCCTGGGTCGTGCTTTGTCCAACCAAGCCGTATCCCTCCGGGCACATTGCATTCAAACGCCACACGAGTCGTACAAATAGGGGGGAGAATGTCGTATCCCAAGAGCACGGGATGTGACCATCGGCAAAAAGCCCTTTATCGTTTCTTACCCTTTATGGATGGTTGTTTGAGAAAATAGAAACTTCAAGCTGCGCACTTTGGTTATTCCTCCCTGCCGCTTTCTGTGCGGCGTCATTCTGTTACACTCAGCACATTATTCGATCAAAACAATTCATAAATAATCAAATAATTTAATTTAATTACAGATTTCTTTATAAATAACAGATGTTTCGTTTTACGGAAATGGTCATATTAATAAAATAGTATTATATTATTATATTGGACTTGGATTTTCATAAAAATTCGTAAACCTTATAATCAACGCTGTGAAAACTGCAGCACGACCCTTTTGTGCTTGATAATGTCCGTATGTTTTGGTATTGCTGAATAGGGACTCAAAAAAGGTGCCATATTGGTTAGGGCAACATATGTTTGCTGTTCTTCTATTCACGACACCCGGCGCATGGCTACTGAAAGCGATCGCTGAGGTCATGTAATTGAGACATGGCCTCCGTGTTAATGGACACTTGAGGATTCTTCCTCTTGAAAGCGCTGTACGACGGACTCTACTTCTTAGTGGAAAGACCAACTTAGATTTTATTTTTTGATTTTATCTTACAACTTTTATTTACAGCTAAAGTTTATAACAGCTCTAAAACCACACGAGCGGCAGCCTGCTACGAGTTAAGACATTGGTAATGCTAAAAAGGGTTGATAAGGAGCTGGCATAGAAGAGAAAATGCCTCGTTTTTTGATTTATTATGGCGATTTTTCGAATTTTTATATATTTACACATTTATTTCTTTTATTAATTAGATAAGCCATCTTTCTTAATTTCTTACCAAGGAAAGATGTTGTGCGATTATCGGGTATAAATTCGCCAATTGCTCGAATTCTTCACATTTGTCGAACATGAACTCACAGCTAGTAGGTTCACACCCGGTAATAGCTTAAGGCGAACGGTTTGCGTGTATATAACTTGCAGCGACACATTGCCATCGCTAAGCGAGAGGTTGGGGTCATCGTCCCGGCTGGGGCCTAAACGTTAACATAGCGATGTCCTTAGAAACTACGAAGTATTCTGACTACATTCTCAAGCAAGATTGGCAGAGGAACCTGAGAAGCTAAGCCAAATGTAAAGCCCATCGCCAATATCAGCTCTGAAGTCCTTCCAGGGTGGCGTTCTGTATTGCCTCCGCTTGTACATGGAACCTCAGTGGAATGAAGAACTTCTCCAATGATCAGAGCTTTGCTATCAGAGCCCTGGAAAGGGAAGAGGGGACGTAAAGCGTGGAGGTAACGTATTCCTACGTTTACAAATATCATCATCAGAGAAGATTTCTTCCTTTCGGGAAGTTTATTTGCAACTGAACAAAGCAAGAACTAGTATTTACATAGTGGAATTGAGTTTATAGGCATCCATGTACGGTTTGGATCGCCTCACTGCTGTTCTTGGTGGTCTCGACAACCGGACTGTATTACGGTAGGTGGCCCACCTTTGGATTACGTGATGAGTTCTTTGGTCTCGAACTTCAGTAGGGCTGCTGAGACATTTGGTCGGGTAGTCATAAATTGTTTCGACCCTTTCAGGCTCTGAAGAAGGCGATCCTCGCCGAAACGTTAGCCCAACAAGCCCCGTCTTTTATCAAGCTCTGAAGAGTTGAGAAGATATCAATCCACTGTTTCGTGCATAGCGTCGGTTATTGCGCCTATCTAACCTTCAACCCTCACCCGGTAAATGCTTCTAGCCGGAGTGAAGCCAGCAGGCAACTCCTGCCCAGCCGAATGCCCGTGAAGTTTTCCTATTGAAGTCTCTCGACCATCCTTTGTGGTTTCAAAAGGCTCAAAGTAACAATTCCATAGTTTATGTTGGTAGCAGCAAGGTCATGATGCTAGGTTGTGGGCTCCGTAGCGTCCACGAAGTTTCGCGTTGTCTGTGGGAAGATGATGGCACTAGTCTTGATGATAAATGCCAGTATTGGCAGATATGAGCTCACTCCGACACTCCTTTCCCCAGAGGGCAGTTTGGACGTTTATCAGAAGGTATTTTGTCCAAGATACATGGACTGATTGGGAACTAAAATGTCTCTGGGGGACCCTTGAACTAATTGCCTGCCACCAGTGAATAATAGAACCACACTTTTCGTGATTAGTGGCTCCAGTTGGAAAGATACCTCTGCCAATATTGTAGCTCGTACTATTGAATAATGGAAGCTTACGTGTGCCAGTTACCTACCCTGCTCACTATGGGCGAGAAGTATTCCTGAATAACCAGTAATGAAGCACCAACGACATGCCATTTAATTCTATACGGCCGGAATTTATTGGCATGCCTGGAGTACTACGGTTGAGTGATGAAGTGTGTGCAGTTACGCGTCACTTCACCTCACCCTCACCCACGGCCTGCAGCCATCGACTAATTGCGCTAAATGCCAGTTGCTGAATGAAAATGAGTATTCTAGTCAGTGGCTTTGGCAAAATTGATCCTCATGTAGCTCGTGTAGATAGCATAATTTCACCTCCTATGGCAACCACAGCTGCTGGATCGGAATCCCGCTGGAGCTGTATTATCCCCATTACGGCATTGTGTGTGTCTCCATGCCTTTGGCGTCTGTTTTGTAAGCAATAGCCTGTGCACAATATTGACTTGATTTGCTTGGTAACTCCATAACTTGTAGCGCAGTTCCTCGGTAAGCGACAGGGTACGGGACCGGGTCCTGCCTGGGCGAAGTTTTGTTCATAACCCAGCATTCTTGTGAAACATCTGTGAAGAAATTTATCGGGATCAATACGTTGTATTTCTGTATTCGACAAGGTACATCGACAAATTTGAAACTTGGAAAAATGCCAAGTGAGCCGTAATAAGACGAAACGATTCTTCTTTATGCGGCTGCGTGATGCACACGGTAGACCACGTGGTGCGCTGTGGCTAAGATTTGATCCTCTAATGATCCGCGGCTAGCCTCACCAAAGTGAGTGCATCAAGAAGCTGATTTGTTAAATTGTGTTGTATGGCTCAATGTGTCTGTGGCAAAAGGTCACCGCGCGACGTCGCGCATTGAGTGTGCGGCGTATGTAGTGACCAATTCAGGAGACATTCCTTTCGCAGTCTTTCTCCCCATCTTTCCCACTGTGTCTGCATCCACACCTGTGCACAAACTAAGCAAATGTCCCGAATAAAATGCCGGGGTATCGGAATTTGTCTTGGTTGTAGGGGTATGAGGTAAACATGGTTAGGTCACCGCGCGACGTCGCGCGTAGACCTAACCATGTTTGCCTCATATCCACCACGAACCAGGATGAATCTACCTGTTACCAAGCCAAATACACGCGTCATCATGTTCGGTTCTCTTGGAATTCCAATATTGTGTGCTTCTTCATCCGTACCGTTCGGGTTTCATGGTTCTTTTTTTGGAACGAAATAAAGGGGCTCCCCCATAAACTCTTGTACGGCACAGAAGACGATACACTCACGCATGATGCTTTGCTCCCGAAATTGTTCAGGCCATTGAGTAGCGACGTCCAATTAAAAAATTGCCTCTTCGACATCTTGCCGTTTCCCTTTTGCGGATGGCTAGTATTTGCAAGTTGCCTCCCAATAGCTCACCAATTAAGGGGTAAATGGGGTGCAGAGAAAACCCGGTGAGGTATAGCCGTTTCTTTTTTATGGAGTGCAGTTACTCCATCTTGCAAGATCCAGCAAGGAGTCGCATAGGTTATGTGCAAAATTTCTTCTCTACCCTTCTACCCTTAATTTTTTTCGTGCAAAATCCCTCGATGAATCTCATCTTAAGGCACGTAATGATGAATCGAAAAGATGTTTTGCGAATTTTACCGCAGTAACCACAATCGTCAAGGTCAAAACAGGCCGAGTCATTAGGAATGAACGACCGCAGCGGTTTTCGAGAATAAAAAAGCTATGAAAAAAGTGGCGTTCTCTAGCCATTGAAACGCATCACCTGAGCCACTAGAGCGATCACTAAAGCACTTCGGGCCTATAATGCGGAGGTTTTTTGAGTATGAATCTAATCTTAAAGGACGATATGCATTATTGAAAGTTGAGGGTGATTTCGTATTTTGAACATCGAATACTGAGATCACTTGATATATTTTCACACTTGTACTAAACTACTCGCTGCTTATTTGCACATATGTGTAATTCATTGTCCATTTATTTATTATTTTATTATTTTATTTACATACTTGACTTGTATACTTTTTTAACGTAGGTCTCCCATTTTTATTCATTCAAATCATATTTGGGTAGTCGCTCAAATCGATCAGCGTAAGACCCCTTAAGACAGAAAGAACTATTTACTAGTCCCCAATCAATAAGGCCCCAACACTTGATAGTTCTATAGTTGGAATAACTAAACTGACAAAGAGCTGTTTACGCAAAGAGATCTAAAACTATTATAAATAATTAAATACTGAACACTAACTATTACTATATTATTAAATACTAACCATTATAATTACCATTAACCATCTACAAAGATTTACTAACCATTATAATTAATTAACTATATTCAACTATTTTTATGGGTGGTAGCAATTAAATCCTATGCAAAAGTTCACGACAGGAACAAAAACATAAGTGGGGTACTTGTCACCGTGCCCGCAAAAGGACTCGGAGACGAATACCTGGCGCATACGACTGTGAAAATTCAGCCCACCTGTGAGGAGGGAAAGCGTGCACTCCATAGCCCAAGTGAAGGCCAGGTCTTATTATTCCTAGGTAGGAACAACATATATTTCTGGTAGTACTCCATTATTCCTTCGATCCTTCGCAGCTTATTTACACTCTGCTTTTGCATCAGAGTGTATACCCCAAATGTGACTATAGAAGGTCTTTCATGACGAGAAATGGGCAGTGACACCTACTTTCTCACGATAATTTCGATTTCCCCAGTGAGCATTAGGCCACGGAGAAAATAAAGTCATAAACAATATACTGCATAGTTACCCTCTCCTACTATAGCTAGGCTTTCAATAATGTTGGCATTGGGGATCATGCTAGAGATTTTTCTTACATTACTTTGCTTCGGATATCCTTCCCCAAGTGATGCCAGCATGGATAGGTTAAGCCATGAATTGGAATTCAGCTTTCAATTCGATTTATTGAGCCGCAACAAAGATATCAGCAACATTCGATTC